TTTATTTATCTATGTTATTTATTTTATTTCAAATACTGTTTTATATTTCTATTCAGACAGACCGTTAAGCCATGGACAGCGTCACAGTCACTTTGGCTCTACTGGGCATCTGTTCCCTACTCTACTTTCTCTACGGCGTTCTTCGCGCCCCGACCAAGTTTCCTGAAGGTTTGTTACCTTTTTCTGTTCTGTAAAAAAACACCCCGATAGGTCCCAACAGTCCGGTTATAGCCAGGGCCCACTGCAGTAATAACAGGACTCCCTTTTTTACACTCTTGTGAAAGTGCTTGCTAATTAATTGCCGAGACAGCGAAATCCCTCCTCAGTAATGAGTTACGAATACAGAGCTTTATTGTTATAGACGACGAGTTTCGAGCACCAGCTGGAGGCTTGATTCGCTCATTGTGATTTGAGTAACATTGGATACAGAGCTAATAACAGGGGAACCTTTTGATGACAGTTAATAATTTTTAATACCTTTCTTTTTCTCTTTGCTACCATAGAATGTCAAAGTTCTATGTGCTCAATACCTAGTCTAGAGAAATTTGATGTAAACACACTTTAAGTTTCCCACCATGGTCAACATGACAATGTGACGCTTTTTCCGTTGCATTCCTTTGAGTATCTTGACAACAACTCCAAATTATCTTGTCTCATAGAGCAGATAGAACATGTGCTTTCTCACTTTCTGGTCTGAGTAACTAAAAACGGCCACAAGTGTCAAATAGAACATTGTAATTTTCCGATAGCGAATCAATCATTTTTGCCTGCATTTCTTTTACTCTTGTTGTCATATTGGGTTCCAAAAAGAAAGTAGAGCTATAAAGGTAGTATTTACTGTCTCTATTCCATGCTCTGATGGAAGAGCCATGTGCTTTAGGAAACTTATCTCTCTTGAGTTGTTTTTTTTTTTTACCAATTTCAAAACTGAACAATGACATGAATCTCCATATTTTTCTATCCATTTTGCTTGAAGTTCCAAAGAGGGCTCTATACACGGCTGTGTTCATTCATTTATGTGGTCGGGTGTCACTCAAATTGGAGGGAATCAAAATATGGAAGCGTATTATACAGATGAGTGTGCTGGCGGTACCCCAGCCATGAATTTATCGTTTTTAGAATGTGATACATTGAAGCAAAGCTACACACTCGTGGATGGATGGCACCACTGTTAGGTCCTACCTCTTTTTTCTCTCCATCTGTTGTTTTTGTCTAGTGTCTGGCTGTCTTGCTTTTTTCGTTGCTCTGAATGACTGTTACCGTGTTTATATGCTTCTCTATACGAAGACAAACAAACACATAAATAAACAAATAAAGAAACAATAACAAAACAAACAAAGTTCCACGTGTGTATTTTCTTTGCAAAGGTCCTCGAGGATGGCGATCGTACATGGCAATCTGGCGTGCCACAAAAGAATGGAAGTTCCATCTTCTGTCTAACGACTGGGCTCGTCGCTTTGGTGACGTCACCGGTCTGCGCTTGCTCGGGGGCAAAAATATGATTATCATCAACAATCCAGCGCTCGCTCATCAGGTTCGTTTCATTATTTTTATAAGTATCAAATGGGTAAAAGTAAAATGTAGCCCCCAATGTCTTCGCGCAT